TAAGTAAATGGCATCTGCTATACCAGGGGTAGGCAACCTTGGCTCTTTTATGACATGTGGACTTCAACTCCCAGAATTCGTGAGTCAGCTATGCTGGCTCAGGAATTCTGGGAGTTGAAGTCCACGAGTCATAAAAGAGCCAAGGTTGCCTATCCCTGTGCTATACCATAGTTCATAGTGCAAACACTTTGCTTTTGATGTATGATTTAACATATTCTTATAAATAATACAAGAATTAGGCATGAATATAATTACTGGTACCCATTAGAAGTTAAAAAACATTGGATTTTAGTTGTTTCTTAAAAAGACTATCGACTGTAGTTATTATCTGTCTTCAACCTCATTATCAGTTACTTGACCTATTTGAATTCAAAGAAGTATTCACTTGGGTTTTTTGTGTCATCATGTGCAGAAGTAAACATGAACAAGAGGAAAGAAAAACAGAGAAGTCTGAGGAGGATAGTAAGAAGATAGTAACAAGGCATAGTAAATGTAAAGGCTACAAAGCAATCTCCAAAGAGCTTCATCTTCTTGGAACCATGGTCACTAATATTATTAAGAAGCTTAAAATCCATGAGACAATTTTCCTGAACATAGCCACAGGAAGAAAATTGACCCCCAGCTTGAACAGAAACATAATTTCAATGTTGAAGAAAGAAGAAAAGAAGGAAATTCATAATATATCTTGGTTGACCTCCATGATATGATACAACAGCAAGTTGCACTCCTGAACTTCTGAAAGACAGACAGTTGCTAAAATGCATGTTGACAAGCATAGTTCTTCTGGGAGAATGTCTTTTGGATAGATGAACCAAAATTAAGCTTTTTGATAAATCACAGCAACTGTTCACAGAAGTAAAAACTATACTTTTAAAGTAAAGAACAACTCCAAGAGGCTCCACAGCATTATGAGATTACTATGCTGCCTCTGGAACTGGGTGCTTTGAATCTGTGTAAAGCAGAATGAAATCAGAAGATTATCAAGGTGTTCTGGGGGAAAATTCGCAGTGTTAGAAAGCTCTGTCTCAGTCATAAGTCAGCAGGATAATGATCTAAACATACGTCTAAAGGAATCCAATAATGCAGGGTCCAATCTGTATCGGTCACTGGTACCAGAAGTTTAGTTTTCTGAGCTTTTGGACTCGTGATGGAGCCCAACCCAATAATGGTTGACAAGCAAACATTGGACTGCTTGAAGTGGCCTGCTATGAATCCTGATCTGAATTCAACAGAACATTTATAGAAAAAGCTGAGACTCACAGTTGGGACAAGGAACCCATCAAAACTGGAGCACTTTGCTCAAGCAGACTAAGACTGAGAAGCATAGATGTCTTATTTGGAAAGGATGGTTTTCTTTCTCTTTCTTTCTTTCTTTCTTTCTTTCTTTCTTTCTTTCTTTCTTTCTTTCTTTCTTTCTTTCTTTCTTTCTTTCTTGTTTCCCCTCTGTTGTCCCTTTATTGTGCTGTTTTTACGTTTTCTGCATTCTTTGTTTTTTTAATATTGTAACAATTGTAAACTACCCAGAGTTGTTGGGAGTCAGGTGATTTATACATTTTAATAATAATAATAATAATAATAATAATAATAATAATAATAATAATAATAATAATAATAATAGTAGTAGTAGTAGTAGTAGTAGTAGTAGTCGTAGTTGTTGTTGTTGTTGTTATTCAGAGCTATAGAAAGCACTTACTTGAGTTATTGCTTCAAAAAGGGTTGCTACGAATACTAGGTTAGAATGATGGATGCCATTTACTTATGTTAATTTCATCTTATTTCATGGCAAATTGGGATTCTTTGGAAAAAAATGGAGGTAAACCAATAATTTTGGCTGTGTCTGTATTTGGAAAGCAAAAGTTTAAAATGTGCCAAGTTGGCACTTGGTTGGAGAATGCCTATTTATTTTGAATGAGTTGAATGAGTCCAGAACTATATAAACTGCATCCTAAAGTATGCAAACATGAACTTGTTCATGTTTAATGAATCCTAGAGAATGGAAGAAGTGCCGGAAGGCTGATAGAGCAAAATCCTGCCTGTATCTTTGAAGGAGGATCCAGAGAACTACATAATAGTCACTCTGACATCAACACCAGAAATGACTGTAGGCCAATTCATAAAAGGATCATTTTATAACACCTTGAAAACAATGTGGTAATTGCCAAAAGTCGCATACATTTCTCAAGCCAAATCTTGCCTGACTAACTTTATCTCATTTTTTATTAACTTCTGTAATAAATTGTGAAAATATTGTAGAGTTAATGTATCTTGATTGCAGCAAAACATTTGATAAAGTATTCCATGACATTCTGATTAGCAAGCTCGTTAAGTATGAGCTGGAGGGTATGATAATTAAGTGGATATACAGTTGGCTCAAAAAATCGTACTTAAAAATTTCTCATCAAACTAGATGAAGTATTGAGTGGATATTATAAGGTTCAGTCTCTAGTCTTGTACACTTCAAAATTTGTATTAATGTCTTAGATGAAGAAGAGAGAATGCTTATCGGATTTGCATGTGACACAAAATTGGATGGGATAAAAAATATTCCAGAAGGCAGAAATAAAATGAAAAAGAATCTTGATGAAATGAATAAAGGAAATTTAATGGAAACCAATGGAAACCTAAAGGGAATTCAATGGAAACTTAATGGACAATTATTTCTTTAGAAAAAAGAAATCAAATGCATAGTTATAGGATGGGGAATAGTGCTTTGGTAATAATACTTTGTACAATAATACCTTGAAGATTTCTCCAGTACTGGGCATATTTTAAAATGATTCAAACAAAGTGCAGCAGATTCAAAGAAGAGCAATGTGGATGATCCAAGGATTAGGCACTAAGTCCTATGAAGAAAGACAGGAGGATTTGGGAATGTTTAGCCTCAAGAACTGAGGAGGCAGATTATAGCATACTTCATATACTTAAAAAAGATTCATACATATAAAAATTATGAGACTTATTTTTCAGCACTCTAGAATACAGGATACAGAACAATAGATTGATTTTACTGAAAAGCATGTTACAATTAAATGCTTAAAAATCCTGCACAACCAAGCAATTTGATGCTGGAGCCAATTGCTCAGAGAAATGGTGGGTTTCCTCCACTAGATGTGTTCAAGAACAAGCAGGGTGGACATTGGAAAGAGATACTTTAACTGGGATTTCTGCACTGAAGAGATTGGATGGCTGCTTCTAGTTCTATCATTCTGCATACAGTAAGTCAAGAAGAGAAGCAGGAATTCAGATGAGCTATCAGAACATTTTAATGTTTTTGTTACTGACGTCTAGACCAGAGATCCTCAACCTTTTGGGCACCAGGGATCGGTGCCATGGAGAAAGATTTTTCCGTGGACCAGAAGGGGTGTGGTTTTGAATACTGCCTGCAACCCGAGAATGGAGCTTTGCTTATTTGTGCGGCCCGCTTGTTGACATGCTGCGGACCGGCACCAGTCCATGGACTGGGGGGTTAGGGACCCCTGGTTTAGACTTCTGATTTCTTAACAAGATAATCAATTTATTACTGCAGACCCCACCTCCAAGAAACCCACTTCCCAATATACAAATGGCAATAACTTTTTAATGAAAAATATGATGATGCAAGTTAAGACCATTTTACTATTATTAAAATATAAATTATATAAATATTATTGTAACACAAAGTCATATTTTTGGACAACTGAAATAGCCTGAGCTGTCCAAAGCAGAGAACATCTTAAAATTCAGGAAATTTCACCAGGTTTGAAAATGGAATATTTTTCAAATTTAGCATATTTTGGGGGAAAAAAACTAGAATGCTTTGTAAAAAGCTGAGTAATTTGTACGTATCTATTCGTAGTTAGACCTTGTTATTTTTACCTTGTTATTTTTACTGCATCAATAATTTATATATTTTCTTTAAAAATATAGAGAAATGTTTCACTGCTCATTGACAGAATAAACTTCCCAACAACTGTAATTTTGATAGTGAGTGAAAAAAATATTATTTGATTAATCATTAATGAAGGTGATTAATGTTTGATTATTTAATTAATGTTTATGAACAACAGGATTTGGTAAATGTACCACTGAAGTAACTTCAGTGTAAGATTTAAATGGTTGCTATTTTAGATACATTCAAATTTTGATATTACATTTTAATATTTAATGTAAGAATTTTTATTTTTATATATCATTGGATGTAGGAGATGACCAGGCTGAGCATGAGAGAGGGGTCAAATGTGTCATAAATCTCAAATCCCTTTGTGCCTACAAGCGATCAAAGTCCAACCCACCTTGAATTCCGCTGACTCTTATCTACTGCCAATTTGCTTAAACCGTTAGTAGTACAGATTCTTGTAGAGCGCATAAGCTTGCAATAAACCCTTATATTTATTTGGACTGCCTGAGTTTCCTGATTTTTTGACATTGGAACTTCACTATCTATAATCCTTAGCATTGTGTTGGAAGAATTAAACTCATATTGAAATAATGAAGTGTTTTTCTAGCATTCATAAATGCTACAACACAAACATACAAATGAAATGACACAAACACACAAACATCAAATTATGTATACTTACAATGTATAAGTATTTTGAAATAAAAATGCTCTTTATCCTGCCAGTCAAGATTATAAAACAGTGATGAGAACAAATCAGTTTGATTTAACTTGTTTCTCATGATGATTTTTGCAGTATGATGCCAGTCAAAATGGTTTAACTGCTTATTAAAATCATTGGGCTTCATATATATAGACTTGTAGTTAGTCAGTGAGGTATAATTAGTTTTCATGACATAATTAACTAATAAAAGGAAAAAGAATTGGGTCTAAAATACATAGCCGGTATAAAAACCATTAATCATAAGAACATTCATTTGAGGGTAGCACATTAAATTTGTGTGTGCTATGATTTCTTGATTTTTTTTCAAATATTAAATATAGGAAAGATTTATGAAATCTTTTGATCTCTATATATATGTATATAAAAATTTAGTAGAAAGTCTTTTATAAATATTCTTACCATGCTTCAGATGTAGGCAGCTGTCATTCGTGGGGCTGTACCTGTAGAAGATTGTTGTTTTTTAACAAATTTCACTGAATATTTTTTTTGCATACCCCAAATAAAAGGTCTTATGCTAAAATATGCATTGCTGATTGATTTCCTCTGCCTTTTATGGTTCTTATACCAGCCATTTTTATTTTTTTTAAAAAAGAGAGAACCTCACTGATCCTTTCAGCAGAAAGATTTTTAAACCTATTTTTAAAAAATGTACTATATGTTAATATAAAGTATCCTTTGAATTGTGCTTGATTCTGCAGTTTTCTTGGCAACAGTAGGGAAGTGATTTGCCATGGCTTCTTCTGGAAAGGGTTTTTTTTTTTTTTTTTTTTTGACTTCCAAATCTAGCCTACAACCCCAGGATTTCCTGTTATTCTTCTATCCAAATACTTAACAGGTCTGACTTTTTTAGCTTTCTGAATTTAGGTTGCCATTCATAATATATCCATGAGGTTTAATGATTTATTTACAAGGCTCATAAGCTGCTCCAACTGAAGCTGACTTTTCTCCAATGAAGAAATAAGTTGATCTAAAATATCTGCCCTTAACAGCAGCCCCAAAAAGAGAATATTCTTCACACTTGTGGAAGTCAGTAGTGGGTTGAAGGAGCTAAAATGCAATTTACGGCATGGGCAGAACAATTTCTCAAGTAATGTTTCCTGAATCTAAGCAATGGTACCAAAGAATAAAAGGCAGTTGTCTTTTTGTCATTGCTTCTTAATTTTTTTGAACTGGTACTAATGTGGAGTAATGTGAATAATTACTAGAATAATGCTGTGTCTGCATAATTACTGGAATAGTGCTGTGTTAGTAGTATGTGACTAACCTAATGTGCATTGCACTTGGATACAATGTATGTAGCAAACTCTCCATTGTATATCCATGAGAAACGAACCTAATGTATTATAATGTGTATTCCTTTGTTCCTGAGAAAAAGAAAGTATAAAACTGAAATCTGAACCCGCCCTCGGGGTTCAGAATTGCTGTAGCTATTGCTTCTGAACCTGCGCAATAAATCTCTCTGCTAAAACCCTCTGGAATTTGTAAGAGTCCTTCCGTTTTCCACAAGAGTACCACTTATATACGTTGATAGTGTTAGTTTTACAATTTTCATTAATAACTCATACATGGACACTCTTTCAGCAATTTCTCATGCTCGGAGAGTCTTCAGTAAAGACTACCCATGCATGAGAAAGTTGAAAAGACAAGATCACCTGATCAAGACTGTTCTCCCCCCTTTTTATTGATAAAGTTTTGGCAAAGACGTTATAGAAACTATGTTAAACTACATCTACTGGTGCTGTTACTATTTTCCAATCTTTGAGCCTCTACTGACATCCAAAAGAATGGAAATTAATTTGTTCGCCAATTGCTGAAACAAACCACAGAGCTTCATTCCAAGCATCCCTTTATAATGAGACTAAAGCTCTTAGTTTGAGGACAAGGCCATAGAGGTGACATCAAAAAGAATTCTTAGACTATATAATGTCCTTTATGGAGAGAAATTGGCATCTTGAAGCATTGTGCTCAGTCTTTTTTTAAAACACATTCAATATTTAACATGAATATCTACCATAAAATATACCTGATGTTGACTCCTGTAGCTTCTCTCTCTTCCTCTTTTTCTTCTTTCCCTTTAAAAAGAAAGAAAAAAAGTTCTTTATTCATAATAAGGAAATAAATAATAAGAAAAGCCTTTAGAGGTTATTCAGAGCTGTGGTGGCATAGTGATTAGAATGCAGGACTGCAGGCTAACTCATTGCTCACTCCAGGAGTTTGACTTTCAGCAGCTCAAGATTGACTGCTCCTTCCATCCTTCTGAGGTGGGCAAAATGAGGACCCAGATTGTTGGGGAAAATATATTGACTCAGTAAACCGCTTAGAGAGAGCTGTAAAGCATTGTGAAGCAGTATATAAGTGCTATTGCTATATAAGCAATCCTAAAATATTCTATATTGTATCTCTGTTTCTATAATTCTCAGTGATGAATGTTAAATTTTGCTTATATTTTATTACACTCAAGCTATTTTTCTTTATATTAACTTCTGCCATTCTACCCTTGTCAGACTAACAAGAGTAGGCAATCAGAGTTCACATCTCACCAAAAGTTACTTCACATCCCTTTCCAGATGCAGTAGACATTAACTTCAATGGAGGGCAACCGTGGCAGAAATTCTAGAAAAAGCTTTTTTTATGATCCAGAAATAAGAGAGAGGAAAAGAACTTGCTTGCTGAGAATTGCAGAATAGCTGTACTGTTTATTTAACTTTGTGCCACAAGAAATGTTGAATTGAAACCTCTGTATCAGCCTCCTGAATCAAGCATGTTTTTTTCCTCATACATGGCAATCCCAGTAAGTTTTACCATAACCTCAAAATTCCTCCACTAATTAAGTTTTGCACAGTAGGTCAAATTTCATTCATCATTCATAACCAGTATTTAAATGGGGGAGAGGGGGTAGAGAATTCATTAAAAATTACAACATGGCATTTCACTAAAGAAAGCATCCTTCACAAGCTATTCGTGAGACATAGAATTGGCACAATGTGTGTATCATGACTATTTAAGGAAAAAAAGTAATCTAACTGAATATATATTGTAGTTACTGTTGGCTAACTAAAATCTAATTTGAGAAGCTGCTGAAAGTATTGCTGTGAAGTCTTAAAGGAGTTTAGAATCCCCATGCTAAGAATCAAAATATCTACTAATGCTCTTAATTTCCAATAGCTGGAGAGGGTGTTATCCTTTTTTTCTTGCCATCTTAGCATAACTTATTAAAACTGAATAAGGTTTGCAAAATGGACTGATACATAAACTGTTTTGTTAAATAAATGTAGGCACTAGGCAAAGATGATTCACTGTGCTCTGAAGCTCATTGGCTCTTTTATGGAATTTGACTAAGGCAGTAAGTCTATTTATCTGGCATTAACTAGGCACATGAGATTAAGGATATATCCCACTATCGATTGAAATTTTAATGAATCTGTGAGAGACTATATTTTCAAAGACAAAACTATGGCTGGGATTAGGCTCTTCTTTGAATTGTTTATTTAAGAGTCATCAAGGCCCTGTCTTAACTAACTCTCAGATAAATAAGTCTCTGGCTATCGTGCGTATGGATTTTTCTTAAAGAACTATTTGCAAAGTTAATGGAAGACATACTTTTTAACTGTAATGAAATATTGTTATAGTTTGCTGGGTAAAAAAATCTTATTGGGGGGGGACTCACAATTTGAAAAAGTGCTGCTAACTGAAGCTTTTCTTTTTAACAATAAAAGTTATCCCACAGCCAAAAGGATCACTGCTCAACTCAATACACACTACATTTTGTTTGCTTTAGGACAACTATACACACACAAATTTCACATTGTCAAGATAAATTCCAAGATAATTCCAGTAGGACATCGTTCAAAAGACAATCATTGTCATGTGTATATATTAACCATTGGATAAGCCTATGTCAAAAGAGTGATCAGTTTAGGACAGAAATCCCCGTGCCAAGATATGCAAAACAAGTCTCTAATATTGAATTGCCATTTGGATGTATTTTTGGGTTAGGCATAAAGCTGGATAAAAAAAAAAGAAGAAGTACATTTTGCAATCCACTTGTATATGTAAAAATGGTCCTAAAAAGAGAGGAGAGAAAAATGTATATACCTCATATTGAACAAAATACTAATACAATGAGCTTTTGTTCCACATTCAGATTGCTGTGTCTTCGTTACAGCAAGATCGAGAAAATATAAATATAAAGCTTACATAGTTGTCTCTTGCAGACCAGCCAGGATACAGTTGCATGTGTAGCTGCCTTTCTTTCCGAGCTAGTTCGTAATATTTTGCTTGTTCTTCACGCGACAAAGCATGCCACTGCAAGTGAAGTGAAAAAGGAATAAGCTACATGTGCAGACATCTAAGGACATGAATTCCAATTTATTCCAGTGCATAGAAAAATACAACTCCAGAATGCTTGCATGTTAGCAATGGCAATATAAGAAACTTACACAATGTGCATAACTGATGTCAGGCAGAGGTGTTTTGAGTTTTTAAACATGTAATTTTTGAAATTTGGTGTGGAAGGCCTTTGAGAAAACATGAGAATGGACTATTTGTGGCTTTAAGAGAGCATGCTGTTTCCTGCTTCTCCTGCCTTTTCTATAATCTGATGACTTTTTATCACACAGACAAAATTTTGCAGCACTATTTGCCAATAATCAGCAGAGCATGTTCCTGCCATTTTGAGACAGGAAGTATATTGAAATTGTCGTATAATGACCACAGTAGATATGCCATTTTAAAAAGACAGGATATCAGCCTCTCTCTTTCTTTACACCTGGAGATTTAGTTTACAGCTCCTTTCCAAAACATTAAATGATCCCCCATTCTAGGAGAACTGTGATCAACAGAAAAATAATAGAAAGAGAAAAGAGGTCAGTACCTCTGTAAACATAGTTTTGGAGTTTTTTGTTTATCAGCATGGAGTTCTGAGATGCTATAAGAATATATAGCTTTTAAATAAAATAGTTTCTATATTGCTTGAATAAGGAGACTTCCATGTAGATGAAGACTATGATACTGATAAAATTAATTAATGATATTAAAATATTAATATAATGATATTAATATTAGGTTTATATTTTTCCTTTTAAACAATAAATGCATTAAGAACTCATTACAAGTCTAGGTTACTTGTAACCTAGAAGAAGTGTAAAAGATATTTAAAAAATCTATCAGATTGTCTTGTTAATTTTTACTAAGCAATCTATGATATTTACTTTAAATAAATCCTATTTTACCCTGAAATTCTTTTCTTTTTCTATTCTTTTTTGATACTCACAGTTATTTTGTATCAAAATATGATAAAAACTCTAATTTTTAATATGACTGAAGGGGAAATTATTAACTGCATATTGGGGACTAATAATTTTAACTCTATAATTATATCTATCTCTATCTCTATCTCTAATTCTCTGTGTCTATATTCTCTCTTTCTCTCTCTCTCCCTCCCTCTCTTTCCCCCTTTAATTTAAGTAAATTAAATTTAGTTTGGGCCCTAGCTGCACTCTCCTACCTTGGGGAGTGTAGCCTTTGGCTAGCCCCTTAAGGATGGACCTCAGCCCCCCCCCCCAAAAAAGTTGGCTATCCCAATTTTTATTTTACATTCACACATTGTACTCACACATATTGAATAAAAGAATTTGCTGTTTACATGACAGTTTATAGTGTAGCAAATTCTGAATTTTGTATGCAATGAATGCATACAAAAATGCATTTTATGATTATGAGATAATAAATTATGAGATAATATTGAAAAATTGTTTAGGGGTAATATAATAACTCAACATTTTCATGAATCTACGTTTCTTGACCCGAGAGTCTGAATATTCAGTATGACAGGGACAGCTGGAATGCATGGAGTTAAATATTGAAACATATCTTACTACATTTGGGGTGGAGAGACAGCAGATGGTATTGCAACAAGAGAGACAGCTAAGGAATGATAGTCTGAAGCCACAGAAACAAATCCAAAACAAAACTATAAAACACAGATGGGAAAGGCTAGGCAATGTGTCTGCTGTTAGGGTAAAATCATTGGTGGAAACCAGTGGTGGGATTCAGCTGGTTCACACCAGTCTGGCAGAACTGATAGTTAATTTTTTGTTGAGTTTGGCGAGCTGGTTAGGATAAATCTGTGTTTTCTGGAACACGTTTGGTTTTCATTCAACTTCCATCCAGGTAGGAAAAAAAACTCTCCCCAAAAGTCCAAGAGAGGAGCCACGGAAACCAAATGGAGATGCTGCACCTTCGATCATGTCAGCTTCCTGCCTGCCTCTTCTTTCACTTCCCTCCCAAGCCGGACTGCCATGCTATGGAAGATGCGCCTTACCCAGTCCCCCTTTGCCGTTTCAGAGCCAGGGGGGAGTGATGGCGAAAGGCTCTGCTGCTGCTGTGCAGCAGCCATGTCTGCCACTGGAGGGGTTTTCTTTGGTCCCTGCCACTTCTTTCTCCTCCACCAATTCTCCCATGGCTTGCCCTTGTATCCCTTCACCAGCCCTCCATTGCCGCTACCACACTCTCTTGCCACTCTTTCTTGCCACCCTGCATCGGCCCACGTGTTCCTTCTTCTCCATTCTGGAAATGGCAGACTCATTTTCTGCTGCTTTCCTCCTGGCAGAAGGAAGGAAAGGAAGGATGCTTTGTATGGAAGGACACTATGGTAAGCTCCGGGAAAACTACACCAGATGTAGCTGAGTGAGGAAGGCCAGGCTCCCCTTTCCCGATGGTTCTGCAAAGCCCCTGAAAAGTGGACACATGGGCCAATGCAGGGCAGCAAGAAAGTGCGGACCAGCGATCACTGCAGGAAGGAAGGAAGGAAGGAAGGAAGGAAGGAAGGAAGGAAGGAAGGAAGGAAGGAAGGAAGGAAGGAAGGAAGGAAGGAAGACTTAAGGACACCCGGGGAGACAAAGGAAGTTACCGTAAGCTGCCTTTCTCCCTTTTTCCCTTTCCCAGCTGGGACTGAGGCAGGCTGCTGCTTCGCGCAAGCGAATATGACCTTGGCGACCAAGGCTCCTCAGGGTTGCTTGAGAAGTTTTGTTCCTGGGTGGAGGTGGGTGAAACTGACCACCTTGCAGCAGTTGCTCTTTGAACAGAGAACCAGTTGTTAAATTATTTGAATCCCACCACTGGTGGAAACTTTGAATAAATATGGCTTTCACATGGCAATGAATGAAGATGATTATACCCAATTATATATCACTTCCGCTGGTGAATTAAGCAATGCCATGAGGATCTTATCTCAGTGCCTGGAGGCTGTGAGGTCTGGAGTGGAACAACAGGCTTCAGCTGAATCCTGGCAAAATTGAGCAGCTTTAGGTTTGGGGGCCTGTTGCTTCTAGGACTATGCCATCTTTGGATGAAGTCATACTGCTCTAGACTGATATGGTGCACATTTTGAGGGTGATTCTGAACACCTGCTTGAAGAGTAGGCAACGCTCATATCTAGAAAGGCTTTTGCACAACTTCATGTTGTATGTCAGTTGCACTCATTCCTGATTGGGAAGTTTTGTCCACAAACACTCATACCTTAGTCACTTCCAGATTGAACTACTATAATGTGCTCTATATGGGACTGCCTTTGAAGAGGATCTGGAAGTTTCAACTGCAGCAACATGGGCAGTTATGGATGTTCTCACAACTTCTGCTCTGTGAGTTGCATTGGCTACCAGTTTGCTTTCACTTCCAATTCAAGGTGCTGGTTTAAAGCCCTTCATGGCATAGAACTGGGTTATCTTAGCAACATCTTTCCCAATTACATCAGTCCACCCAGTTAGATCTGGCAAAGAAGATATTTTGTTGATACCATCTGCTAGGATGATGGGTCCCAGAAGACGAGCCTTCTCTGCTATAGTGCCTACCTTATGGAATATTCTCTCCAAGTCAGGTTAGTTCCTCTCTTTTAATATTGCAGAAGTCCCTCAAGATCCCAGAGAACTGAAGACATTTTAAGATGGCTCCACTAATGTGGCTGATATATTTTCCATGCCTTGTAATTTTGTATATTTTAAGTGTTTGTAATATTTTAACTTTTAACAATGATTTTTATATTTTATATTGTTTTATCTATGGGTTGTTTTATTTAAATGTTCTATGCCACCACCCAGAGTTCTATATAAGTATATAAACCTAATATATAAATAAAAACAATTGCAATATTTAGGATCATGGAGATGGTGCCATATGAATCAACTGAATGGAAAGAAAGACCTTTTGCTAACTGCTTTTCACAGATTAATTAGTGGTAGCAATAAAATCTTGAAGTGATGCATTTGGAGTAAGAATCAATAATGGTAATTAAAAATTAGAACATTTAATTCAACCAACCAATTTATTAGTCTGCTTTTTTAACCATGCAATCCTGCAGCACTTCTCTGGATGATTTCTGAGCAACAGCATAGCAACAACAGAATGTACTTTAGCAGGCTAATCAAAATCTTCCACCTTGGGGTGTTTTTGGTCACTTTTCCAGTCATGTGGAATTTCAGCTGCAGACTGTTCTCTTCCTAGTTCCTAATGAAGGCCCTTTAAAGCACCACTTCTTATTGTTGAGCTTAGTACTTGCATTGTTTAAAAACCAAACCCTGTAGTTTTAACATTCCAAAAATATTGAACCTGAGGCAATTTTTAGAACAAGTGAGCTGCTCTTCTATGCACACATACACAACCTTCCCTGAACCACAGCAGCCTTCGCCCTTCAAGCAGCAGCCTGATCCAATCGCTGCAGCTGCCCATCAGCTGTTTCACAGCAGGAAATTAGGGCAGAAGCTTGAAGCTTCCAAGAGCTACAGGCAGCAGGAAACATGGGAGGGAGCCAAGAAAAGAGATGAAGTGCCAAAGATACACTGCATTACCAAGGAAGGAGAGCTGCTTAAAAATATTAGTAACAGAAGCTGTGGAGAAATCTTATCTTTTAGACACATAACCTAATCATAATATTCTGAATTATCTGCCATTTAGTCACAATTTTGCAACATAAAACTTGGCTGTTGTAATCCAACATTTTGATTTTATTGATTTTACTGTTGCCTTTTCTATTTTGCCTTTTGTTTTATTGTAATAAGCCAGCTTCAGTGCTTATAAAGCAGTAAAGCAGGGATATGTTAATATAATGTTAATATTATAACATTATATTTTAAAAATTAGCATCACCTAGGGTTTTTTGTCAGTTATTTTACTGTTCTCTAATGGGCAATACTAAACAGACCATATGTATAACTGAATTCATAGTGTAATCAATTAGTTTGAAATATATTATTTAGAGATGGAATGAGCTTTTAAGGCAGCAGAATTTCAATTCTTTAAAACAAAACTAAACATCCTCTCCTATTCTGTTCTGAAATAACCCTAGAGATAGGCTTCACTAAAGCTTTGGCTAGAGTCCCACAATGCTATTTCTCCTTTCACTACAATGCAATTTCAGTTGTTTGTCATCTGCTGTTATATACAAACTATGCTTTTAACAGATCAGTGCAAATATTAGAAAAATGATGTTTGCACTATTATGCCAATAGCCAAATCTACATGAATTGATAGATGCTCAGAGCCAACTGAACTCAAGCAGAAATAATTGTAAAGACAAGATTTTTCTGAGATTGCCAGATATTCAAAAGGTGGGGTCAGTACACATGCCATTGATAAGGTCATAATTTATGTAGAAGTAGCCTGAATGAGAACTCTTTAATATGCTTCTTTAAAGTGTATGTTTAAAATGTTTCACTTTTGATGCTTGCTAAAATGGTGTTGGCTCAAAAAAACCCCTTAACATGGTAGGCATGAAATGGGGGCAATGGGTAAAAGTAATTTTAATCATTAAAAAAATCTGACATCCCTGATCTCTATTCACTTTTTGAAACATGATCTATCAAAAGAAAAATAATTCTTACAAAAAGTGAAATAGGTAATTTACATTTAGCAACTGCCTCAGGTAGCAACTGCTCACAGTTACGATGGTGATAGAAAAAGTAATCTTATGACCAGTCTTTGCATTTACAACATTTATAGGACTGTAAAGCAAAGAAAAGCTTTGCACAGCGACAGTTTTATTTCACAACCGCTTCACTTAGTGGCCAAGTTGTGGTCCGAATATTAATTGATAAATAAGCACTGCTTATGTCTGCTTATGTCTACAGTATATTAAAGTATTTCAGTGAAGATAAGAAAACTGAATGTCTCTCAGCTAAAATGTCAAAATTATAAACCAAACTTTTTCCCATTGTAGACTATGCTTCTTACATTAAGAGCAATAAATATTGTTGATTTTTGAAAGCACCAAACGTACATTTACATGTCTTTTTTAAAAAGTTAAAATTCTAAACATAAATGGTTTATTGCCAAGATAAAAGAGATTATTTGCTGATTGCAATTTTAAATCTTGCATGATACAGGTACTCCTTGACTTACAATCACAATTAGAACCAGTTTTCTGGTCATAAGTCATTTTAGTCATAAGTCAAGGCACTCTGATGGAATGTGTCTACTAAGAGGGAGGAAGTATGATAAACGTTACTATAGTGAGGTGTCCCAAGAAAGAGGGAGCACATTCTAAGTATGGGGAGGAGACAAGAGACAATACAGCTCAGAACTGGATCAAAGGAAAGATTTAGGATGGACACTCTCTACACTCTCCCTGGGTATATTTATCCATTAGGGTTACAGTAGTAGAGGTTTAATCTGGCAAGCAAATAAAGAACTGAACTTTGGCTGGATTGTTCTATGTCATTCTTGGTCTGGCTCTGACCGGGACCCATGTGACTGGACCACATTTTATGACATTTTTGCACTGGTCGTTAAGTAAACCAATAGTTGTTAAGCAAATGCCACAGTTGTAAGTGCATTTTTCCAGTTTTGCTGTAATCTGGTAAAAATCATCATAAATGATGGCCGTGTGACTGCAGGCTGTTGCAACTAGTTGTAAAGGTGAACTGATAACCAAGCAACTGAAAAATAGTCATGTGACTGCTGCAAATCGAAGACTACCTATATGTTGAAAGTAAATAATAATCTCCTTCCATTCAATTCCTGACACCTGGATAATTTTCTTGGCAAAATTTGGAAATTTCTTTCTAAATCTGTTCTACCAGATCTTGAAAAAAAAAAAAATTCCAGTATAATTTACTGGAAAAAATCCCTATAGCATTCCAACCAAATACTAACCAAGCCTAATCCTATCTATCTGAGACAAGCCCAGCCACTTGCTGAAAATATGTGGAATCTTAAGGAGGCAGAGCACATGTTGAAGTAAGAATTGGAAAATATTCTTGTGGCATACTACCCACTAACTAATCAGCACTGTAGGCTACCTCAAATCAAAGTATAACATCTGGATTCATAATCCAATGCCTATCCAGAAAAAGCCCACTCTCAGTATCTCTCGAGACTTTATAAGCATTAAGCTATAGACCAAAACCCTATACTATAGAAGTATAGTTTTATCTATAGAAGTAAAGTAAAGTTTACTATAGAAGTAAAGTTTTATCCTGGGAGACAAAAGGTATCTTAAGTAATGAAGAAAATTATCAAAATACAGACAAGAGCTTAAGCTAATTCAGTGTTTGGGGAAATAAGTAAGAATTTCTAATCATGTGACATGTTTAGGAAACATAATAATCAAACACATAATATATGCTTTGATGGGACCATGCAATAAACATCATAGTATTCATAGCATATAGGCTCCTAATCAGTCTGACACCAAGATTAATTTTATAAGCGAAGGGTTTATGGGCTTGGCAAGCACAGATCAAGTTAAAGATCTGAAGGAAATAAAAAGCATAAGAGTCACAACTTAAAAAAAACATTTCTGCTACTTTTGGTACACATATATTTTTATAAAAATGTATTGCAATAATATTTTAACATGATTGAGATTGATTAGATCTATTCCCTCTCCCTGCAAAAGCTGTGTAAAGCAGAATATTAAGTATGTGATGTTGATGTTGAGAATTGCCTATAGTATTTATGCATCACTTTCCACAGGAAAAGGCTGCCTTAGCCTAATCACATTGAGAAATACGGGTTGAATTTTCAGGCCTCTTTTGAAAATAAGCTATTTAATTTGTTGGACAATACAAATTTAGATATCTGCTCCAATAACTACTTTGCACCACAGTGCGACTGGGATGCTGTTTGCTGTTGATTTTGTTTCATGAAACCATTAAACTCTTGCAAGCAAAGAAATCTGGCAAGAGTTGCTTTTCCCTGATGACTCCTGGTTGTAGAAGTGAGAACAAAGAATATAGGGATTGAGATAAATTAAATACATACGGCAGCTGACAAAAAAATCATTATAGATGACAATGACTCTTTGGGTTTATTTTAAGTTAGCCGATCACTTCTCCTAATTAATAACAGCATACAGGTAGTTCTCGACTTACAACCATTCATTTAGTGACCACTCAAAGTTAAAACAGCACTGAAAAAAGTGATATATGACCTTTTTTCACATTTAAGACCGTTGCAGCATCCCCATGGTCATGTGAACAAAATTTGGGCACTTGGCAACTGGCATATATCTCATTTTTAACGTGTGCCACTGTGTTAACACAAAAAAGATGACAATAAAATTTATCTTAACTTACCTATCCTATCCTATCTTCTTACCTTATCTAACCATCTCATCTCTATATTTATGAAAGTTGCAGTGTCCCTGGCTGTCATGGACATGTTTCTGGCCTTCTCTATGGACACAAATTTGGAGGAGGAGGAGGAGGAGGAGGAGGAGGAGGAGGAGGAGGAGGAGGAGGAGGAGGAGGAGGAGGAGGAGGAGGAAGAAGAAGAAGAAGAAGAAGAAGAAGACGAAGAAGAAGAAGAAGAAGAAGAAGAAGAAGAAGAAGAAGAAGAAGAAGAAGAAGAAGAAGAAGAAGAAGAAGAAGAAGAAGAAGAAGAAGAAGAAGAAGAAGAAGAAGAAGAAGAAGATGATGATGATGATGATCCGGGTCCTGGAATATCTGGGGAAGTGAGTTCAGGAGGGTATGGAGACACAGACAAAGGAATGACCGGTTGGGTAGCAGGCAGAGCCCAAGCGAGAGAGCCACAGCTTCAGCAGGTTAGCCTGGAGGCTTCAAGTGAACAACAGTCAATAAGGATGAAGGGCTGGAGTCCACACTTTTTCCCTCACCCCCCCAATCCAAGGATGAACAGGGCAGAGAGGTAACAGGCACAACACAGGTTGGCCAGGTTACTCATGGCCAGGCAGCTTCGCTCATTGTGAAGGACCATTCCAACATTGCCTATTTAAAGAGATGGGCTTTGCTGAAACAATGTGCCTGGTTTCCTTGCTCTGTATTCCTGCTTCCTGTGTGTTTGAATCTTGGACTGACTTTTGGACTGTGTATCATGCTTAGTGGACTGCTTTTGGCTGGGAACTCTGGTGCTGCCCAAGTCCTGCCAGGCATGGTGATTGAATCTCCTCTTTGTGTTGGCTACCTGAGAACTGCTGGGGGTTTGAGTAACATCTTCTCACTCACTGTGCTGTGCTGTGCTGTGCTGTGCTCTCTCTCTCTCTCTCTCTCTGTGTGTGTGTGTGTGTGTATGTGTGTGTGTGAACACGGGGCAACACACTAGCTCTGATGATCACCATTTGCAACCTTCACTCCTGGCTTCCAACAAGCTAAGTCAATGGGGAAAACCAGATTGGCTTAATGACTGCGTGATTCACTTAATAGCTGCAGTGATTCCCTTAGCAACAACAGCAAAAAAAAATTGTAAAATGAGGCACAACTCACTTAACAACAGCCTTGCTTAACAATGGAAATTTTGGGCTTAATTGTGGTTATAAGTCAAGGACTAGCTGTAATCAGTTTGTGAATAAATAAGGCCTAGATTAGGTCTAATACAATAATCAGGATAATTGGAACTGAATCTCAATCTAACAACTCTAGAGCAGAGGTCCCCAACCTTGGCCACTTTATGACTTGTGGACTTCAATTCCCAGAATTCCTCACCCAACCATGCTGGCTGAGGAATTCTGGGAGTTGAAGTCCACAAGTCATAAAGTGGCCAAGGTTGGGGACCCCTGCTCTAGAGGATGCAAACCAGTGGTAGGATTCAGCCAGTTCGCACCACTTCGACAGAACCAATAGCTAATTTTTTGTTGCCCAGGCCCAGAATGGACTTCGGAAGGGGCATCCACACAGAGAACTGGTTGTTCACATATTTGAATCCCACCATTGATGGTGGGTGAGATGAATACTATAGACTGAACACACGATACGCATATACGCACAAACATATTTCTCCATACCCTTCTGCCGAGAATCTGGTTGATGGCTGCACTTTCTTTCAGAGTACATTCTGCTACAACGTTCGCTCTCATCTCTTTCATGTATAACATGAAAGCATTCAGAGGTTTCTTAATGTGAGGTCTTTTGGGCTCTTGTTCTTTCCTCTGTTCATGCTGAGGCTTCCTAAAGGTAACAGTAGGAAAGAGAACATATGGAAGAGTACAATTGATACCATGCTCATTTTTAAGGGATATTTTATACTGCATTTCACGTCATCAACAGATACCTCCTCATTTCTAATTGGCAGTGTTTCCTAGGTTATTTCAGTGTTCAGGCATAAAGAAAAAGCCAAAAACAACCTCTCATCCTTATCTAGAAATATTTCTCTATGTTATTTGTTAAGAAGTCTTACAGCTCCTTAACTCACAAATATTTCCAGATGTATCAAATTTCCATGGCTATATGATATGCACACATATAGCAGTACATGCCTTTTTAAGACCAAAGTAACTTATGGATAAACTAATAATTAGCAATGCAAGAATCAACAGTCAAAGGGGTGTTGAGGAGCAGAGTTCCCTGTAATATGGGAATTAGAACAACGCCCAATATTTTAAAGATAAATGATACTGCTTCCATCCAACCTATTTAAATGGTATAAAATGTGCTTATGAAATGACAGGTCTGAAGATGGAACAGTAATAAGCTCACCTCCTTTAAAAAGAATAATATCCATATATCTTTTTCATAAAATAGAGAGGCAGAAAAACAAAGTTCAAGTCCCCAAAGTACATATAAGGCTAACTCTGGGGATTATTGTCACTTAAAACAGTTTATCTCTGCCTATGACCAAGTCAAAAGCAATCTAATTTTGATGTTATTTGGCACTTTTATGTATATTTCCCATATCTGTGTTAATCTACAACATTTATTTTTTTTAAAAAAATATCTATTTAATTTGTATGTAATTGTGCTTTTTATATAAAAAGCCTATTTTCACTTGAAATATAAGTTTAAACTGTACTTCTTTGTTAGGTTGATCATAAGAGCCACTTAGAACCGAGAATATAAAATTAGAAAGAGATTCTACAAGAATTACCTCTATCCAAACAAAACATATTTCTAGTTATGCAAATATTTTTATTTCTCTGTGTTGGTATGAGGTAAGTTTTGATAAACCACAATCCATTTCACAATACATATCTAGGTTGGATTGTATTAAAATCAGAACATAGCAAGCCTTCATTGACTTGATACTAAAAGAGTTATCTATGTGTAAACAGCTTCATATTCAAAGTCAGGGGTGGGCGATTAATTTTTCCAAGGGGCCAAATGAGAAATTGTGGAAGACCAAACCAATAGGGCTGTGAAGGTGTCTAGGCATGCACACACGCACGAACATATGTAAATTAAAAAAAATAGCAGCTACCTTCAAAATAAAAGCAATGCAGTTATATTATGTGCATGGTGTACACTTATTTACATTTGATTTCTAATTTTTGATTGACCTCACAGAGGACAGAAAGGGACGGCCAAAAGGCCATATGTGGCCAGGGACTATAAAAAGCCCAGGTCTGTTCAAGGTAGCGACATCTGAAAATATAATGCTATATTCGTACTCAGGCACATATCCAATACTTTATTTTAAGGTTAAGCAGAAAAAAAGCCCTTTATCACAACTATTGCAATGTCCACTTGGTTCCCAAACAATGCAGATTAAGGATTGTTAAAAGACGTGGAAAAGTCCAACTCACACGTGCATTAAGTCACTGTCTGTGTGTGGATGTTCTTGTTTGACTTGAGGTGTTACAATTGCAGGATGAGGGATTCCAGTTGTGTGGGGTCCTGGAGGACCTGGGATCATATGATGTGAAAACCTACAAAAGATGGAAAAGGACAAGTCTTTTTAATAATGGCAATTTTAGCCTAGCATTGAACAATCATATAAATCATAGGGAAGCCTATGAAGAAATACTTCATACTGGGCTAGCAGCAAAGATATTAAGATTCCTATATTTGATAGCTAAGATATGGACAGAATAAACAGGATTATTTTTGTCCTTTAATCCTGGAGAAATGCTACAGTAGATATCCTGTATTATATGCAAAGACATTAGATGCCTCCAACTATTCTAAAAACACATACAGTAGGAAACAATGCTAATTTCATCCTAGCTCCATAAAAATATTTTTAACATAAATATGACATTAAAGTTACCCATCACCAGCTATCAAAAGGAGGAATGATCATGCAGGAAAAAAATAAGATTGAAAAAGTTGCATTTCCTTGAGAAGCTATAGCTTTCCAATTGTATAATCTAAATCCCAGGATCAATATTTATCTTGTCTCTATGATACGTGACTCACTCCTAGGGCACAGGATACACTCACTACTCATCCTCCTGATACTATTATCCTTCAATATTGAACATTGTCCTTTCCCATCTGGCTGCTTTTATAATTGATCGTTTAAGAGACTGCACATGTGCACTTCAGCCTTTTGGTATGTTCTCTATTATTAGTGTATACAGGGTATATATTATAAATGTATACAGGGACACAGCCTATCTGTGTTAAAAGTAGAGAATGCACACAGTTCTGGAGAGTAGTCATATGTGAATGCCCACACAAGAATTATACACTTACGCTTACTGACTTGTTTGGTGAGAATGCTATTCCTGTGAACGCAAATATTGGCATGGTTCCTGCCAAGCCAGGTTTGGTGTACTGCAGTGGTTCTCAACCTGTGGGTCGGGACCCCATTTGGGGTCAAACGACCATTTCACGGGGGTCGCCAAACAAGGCTGTTTGCCATTTTTTTCCCTTTTCTTTGGCCACGCCCCTGGCACCCGGTGATGTATAAGTGGTTGGGGGTCACCACAACATGGGGAACTGTATTATGGGGTCGCGACATTAGAAAGGTTGAGAACCACTGGTGTAGTGGTTATAATGTACTGGCCTAAAAACCAGAAGACTGTGAATTCTAGTCTTGCTTTAGGCATAAAAGCCGACTGGGTGACCAGGGTGGGCCAGTCACTCTCTTTCAGCCCAATCCTCCTCATAGGGTTGTTGTTGTGGAGAAAATTGGAGGAGGAAAGCTATTAGGTATGCTCACCACCTTATTTATAAAAATAGTAAAGGTGGAATATACATGAATAAATAAAGTCACCACAACAGATCCAGTGCTGAGAGTTCCCGAGACCAAATAACAGGACAAGCTATGAGAATGTACAGTTGGCATTCAAAGAACTGCAATTACAGTTTATTCTTTATGAAACAAAGATCTTTTTATAAGATGCCTAATTCTTTAGCCAGCTCCCATGGGAGGGGGTGAAACAGAGCTTTCCATATGAGCGCAGGTATATTAATGTATAGAGAAGGAAAAGGTCCAATATGTAGTAGAGCTTTTATGAAATACTTCAGAAACTGAAAACATTTTCAATAGCAAGAATGGATAATAGAATTTAAAACATCCACACTGAAGAGAAACCTGAGTTGTTGCAGCTGGAACTGAGTAGACAAGAGAAAGTTTACTTCTCTTACTTATTATCCTTCGTGGAACTGAGCAGGGCAAGCTTCTTAAAACTTCTAAACCGTTTATGGACATTTTCTCCAATGAAAATATTAGCTAAATGTCAAACCGCAGAGAACCCAACTGATCTCTCAAAGAGATGAGGGAACCACTAAACTTGAGGCTTGGAGGAAGATGAGGAGCTTCAGAGCCATCCATAAAGGTTGTTCCCAGACAAGAACAAACAGTGTGATGAGCCTGTTTAATAAATGCCTGGTGATGTTTATCTAGGTCACTGATGGCGAACCTTTTAGAGACCAAGTGCCCAAACTGCAACCCCAAACCCACTTATGCATTGTTGGGTGGCAGGTGGGTGTGGCCCATTGGGTGGGTGTGGCCCATTGGGTGGGTGTGGCCCATTGGGTGGGCGTGGCTGCAGTGGTAATGGCAGACTGGGTGGGACTAAAAAGTTCAATCAATCAATTCCAACTTTGCAAGATCTTTTTTTTCCCCGCGAGAAGTTGAAATTGACTCTTTGATTGAACCTTTTTTTTTTTTGCACACAGCGGCAGAGGCCTAAAGCGAAAAGTTTATAAAACCCAGCTGAAGGCCTAGGACTGGGGCGACGGTGCACGTGCCCACAGAGAAGGCTCTGAGTGCCGCCTCTGACACCCGTGCCATAGGTTCGCCACCACTGATCTAGGTCTACGAGTAACTCTCACCAAGCGAATAAGCCCATGTGAGGGGGAAAAGTTAGTTCCTACAATGGGGGTAGTTGTGAAACACAGCCCTTAAGATCATAAAGTTGGCCAACTGCCTGTGATGAGAGAGTGTATGAAGTCTTGATTAGCAGTTTCAAGGAGTTTTGAAGAAGATTTGAGATATGTTTAAATAAAATTGGGAGGAAGAAAGAGATTGAACAAAAACAGCCTGTTCAAATATGAATAAGCTGATGCTATAATGGCTGAAAACAAATTGGAAGAATTTAGAGGGAGATGTTCCTAGTTACACAGTATGGTATTTATGGTTCTCATCAAACCATTATGTCACCTCTAAAAGATCCCAGTCTGCACACTGCAGAGGTTCATAATACATATGTGTGTATATATATATATATATATATATATATATATATATATATATATATATATATATATATATATGTCCCTAATAACTATAAAAATATGAATCCCAGGCATATCTGTACAATGATAGAAAATCCTCGAACTCTGGGAAGGATATAAACCAGCTGTTTATTGTTAAAAACTAAAACAATAAAACAACTATTTACAATTCTAAAAACAACCTAAGCTTTCTCTGGTCCACTGCCAGCGTCAACAGAGTGAGTATCAGGGGGTGGGGGGTTTTCTTATAAACTTTGCTAACTCAGTTTCTTGCTCATTGACCATGTGATAGGGCCGTTCATCCTAACTGGCCATAATTGCCTCAGTTGTCCCGCCTCCCCTCGTTTGCATTCCAGACCCAGACATGCGACCCAGAATGATTATGGGGGGAGGGTGATCGGAAGATACACCGGCAGCGATAATATTAGGAAAGATAGGATCGACAAGGAGACAGCGATAATATTAGGAAAGATAGGATCGACAAGGAGAGGAAGGATGGAAAAAGAAACAATGGGAGGAAAGAAGGCTGTGAAATTGGAATGCAAACGAGGGGAGGTGGGACAACTGAGGCAATTACGGCCAGTTAGGACGAACAGCCCTATCACATGGTCAATGAGCAAGAAACTGAGTTAGCAAGGTTTATAAGAAACCCTTCCACCCTCTGATACTCACTCTGATGACGCTGGCAGTGGACCAGCGAAAGCTTAGGTTGTTTTTAGTATTGTAAATAGTTGTTTTTATTGTTTTAGTTTTTAACAATAAACAGCTGGTTTATACCCTTCCCAGAGTTCGAGGATTTTCTATCATTGTGTGTGTGTGTGTGTGTGTGTGCGAGAGAGAGAGAGAGAGAGAGAGAGAGAGAGAGAGAGAGAGAGAGAGAGAGAGAGAGAGAGAGAGAGATGCAAACAATAAATTAGAGTGTTTTTGTTTCCAACACACGTGTATGGAAATGTTGAACTGAGAGCTGCCACTCAATTAGTTCTTACATTCACTCTTGTGCAAATTTGCATGGTTGCATCCAATCAAAGTAATCAGAAGAAAATATAATACCAGGAACTTTGAACTGCAATGCTATATGTAATGAAATACAAGCTTTGTCTCTTCTCAGACATTTAAAGCACTACACGCTGGTGTGTACCTCTTAAAGCAAAGTAGCTACTGCATACCACAAGGACTTTTTGGCGCAGCTTACTGATTACACTGAAAAGGATTTCCAGCATAGATCCTACCTCATCCTATCTTTTCACTTCGTTATAAAAAAATATTCCAGTAAATACTGTATTAAACAGCTTTTCACGATTCCAGCAGAATTTTCTGTACTTCATAATAGTGAAGCCATTCAAATTATTACCAGCTTAAAAGCAGACCATTCTGCTAATATTATAAAAAGCTAGGGAACATGCGTAAATTGGATAAATAAAATCAATAATGCCCCAATGTTTTAAAGATTATCATAGTGGTGGTGGTGCTGGCGGTGGTGATGGGGAACCAATTATTCTCTTTATTTGGCCAAGATTAGTTTCTCCCGTCAAATATGATCCAGACTTCAACTTTAATATTGAAAAGGATTGCATCCTGTGCATGTCAATACACTGCCAGCATCTGGGCAAGAATACGTTGGTTTGCAAAATAGTCTCCATTCAGAGATCCTAATCTGCATGGAATAAGATTATTAGGCCTGGGTAAAACTAGAAAAGATTCTGTAAAGAGTGAAGCATTGTTAAATGAAGGAGGGCTGAAAAAGGAACCCTGAAAATGGAGGACTGAAAAAAGAACCCTGAAAAAGGGACCGACAGCATAAAAGAAAAGAGAGAAAGCATTTGATGGGATTGATGAGATTCTTAGAAAGAGAAGGTTGGAGGTCTTGGCGGTAGATCTGGCCTTGGTTTTGGCCGCAATCTTGTCAGCGCCCTCCTGACTAGATGTCTTAGGATTCATTGGAGCCGATGACGACGGCAAAATGCCTTTTGTGGAAGGCATAGAATTCTCCATTCTCTGATAACACAGGAGCACGATAGGGGACTTCTGGTATCCAGAGAGTAGTATACACTGGATAAGGACATGCACACTATAGGGGATGCCTGGAATCCAGGTGAAACTGCTGCGTGGATAAGAACAGGCGTACGACAGGGGACACCTGAAATCCAGCTATAGCTGTTGCGTGGATAAGAACAGACGCACGATGGGGGGCACCTGGAATCCAGATAGGCTGTTGTGGATAAGAACAGGAACATGATAGGGGGTGTCTGGAATCCAGATAAAATTGTTGGTAATTTAGTAAGCTCAGAATCACGCTGAGTCTGGTATGAGCAAGGTGGGGCCGGGAGACAAGCTTGAAAGGGGCCAGGACAATAATGTGTAAAAGAGAGTGGGCCTGGATAGTTATGGAGGCCTGTAATTATTGTGTCTGACAGATCCTGAATGGAATAAAGCTCAGGTGAACTCAAGATAAGATCACAAACTGTGCCCTAAGGGGCTAGGAGGCACTGTGCACCTGGAGGTATCAGGCCTCAAAGTAAAAGTGGGCTTATCTGGCTAACAAGATGGCGGCCGTCCCCAAAATGGCAGCCTGCTTGATGACAGTGGGACCGAGAATTTGCTCTCCCTGGACTGCCTGTCTCAGTCCACCTCCCCCAATGGAAGCCCCCTCTCCAGCAACAAGGAAGAATGCAATAAAGGAGGAGGAAGGAGCCCCTTCCTCCAGTATTCCCCTTGTGCAATGGAACGGAACTGGCAGGAGTCTGGGACCATGTGGCCCAAGATGGCAGCCATTCGTGGAGAAGGCAGCTAGGTCTGCCTCAGTCCGGAAGGCTCCGGAGGAAAATGCTGGTGCAGAACGAGTGCTCCCTTATTCCAGGGGAGAGATCCGCACCCAGAAACTGGCAAATTAAGAAAAAACTGAGTTTTCCGTCCCTCTGATCTGCCACCTAACAGCTGATCGGCAGTGGCTGCTTGGCACGCGGCGCGCCTCCGGTCGTGAAAGGGATGATCGCAGGTCCCGAAACTAGAGAAGGAAAAAGGAAGGTGACGGGCTTACACAGACGCCGGAGCTGCAGTCGCAGCTCTAACAAAAGGTTAGACACTGGGATTCCCGAGAGAGATCCTGGGCGCGTGGCGAAAAGCCTCTCCCACCAATGCTCGTAATCAGTCACCGGAGCTGCAGCCGCAAGCTCTGGTAGAAATGAGGCCGAGCTAATATCAGCTGGGGACTAACAGCCATTAGTCCCCAGATGAAACAAGCAAAATTAGGGACTTGAGAGACGTCTATTTGTCAGGGTGGGGAGAAGAGAGGTAAGGAAGGAGCCCCTTCCTTAGAAACTCAGTTTCTGTCCCCCCCCCCCGAATCAGGAATTGATTAGGAGAATTAGGATGTTCCTGAATGGAGAATAAATTGCTAATAGGAAGCCAAATTCTGTGCTGAATACAGCACTGCTCAGCAAACTGGGGAAATGGAAAATCCACCAATAGAGACTGTACCTGCCTAAGAGCCAAACTTGCACTTCTGTCTTGGGCGAGATCAAGTCAAGACTGAGATCTTTATGGTCCACGATGGGCGTGGCAACTTTGGCTGACTTGATCTGATTGGGCAGGAACACAGTCTAAAGCCATTGGTGGATTCTCCATCTCCAGTGCTGGAGAATGATGAGAAATTTAAAGAACAATAGGATTCTTTTTAACAAGATAGAAAAATATGGAGCAATACAGTGAAAAATGCTGGTGTAAACTAGTTTGAGCTATTGTTTTCTTTTATTATACTTTTACTTTCTTTAGTTTCCTATTTCTAACTTTTTTTCCTGCACTGTACATAAAATTATCTAGCCCAGTGGTTCTCAACCCTTGATCTGCAGACTGCTGGGAGGCTGTGATGTTCTCACAGGGGGTCTGCAGAGTTTGGTACATTTGTAAATGGGAGGAAATAAAAAGTATGATTAAATTGCAAACAGCACATGTATCCACACACCAAATGTGTTAAATTGTTGTTATCTGTATGTTGCATTTTATTGATATAAGATACATAGAAAATGACGGCGACCTTTGGGTACACCAAGCACAGCATATAGATCCCATATTTTCATACCACAGAAAGATAAGAATGATATAAAATTAGGCCACCACCAACACCTAGTTAGTGCTGCCTGCTTGCACTAAAGTTCCTTATTCATACAGCAATATAACCATGTCTACACAGCTTCTTTTGCCGTACTTGTAAAATAGTTTGGAGCCTGGAAAATTTTTCCCCCATCTTGCATTCTACAATTAAACTGCAGAGAAAGGAAAGAGAACAAAAAGCAAACTGTAAAAAGTTTTATTTTCCGTCATTATGTACAATGATTTCATTGCACTTGTGCTGACAAAACTAATACTCTCTTTGGCTTCAGTAAGATTGCTGTACCACAGATTTGATGTTTTTTAATCAGCCAATGATAATAGCAAGCTGTATATACACAGATAATAGCAAGCTGTATATACATACACAAAGACTTAAATGCAGTTTAGCTAATGGGGCAGAGAGGAAGCAAAGGCAGTCACCAGCACAAAGCAATACAGCCAATTCCCCTTCATGTCCAGAATTTACTCCTGAGCCAGTTATTCCCCACCTACACCTACCTTGACATGGAAGTGTCGACTGAAAGTGAAGATGGGTAGGGATGCCTGAATCCACCTGAGATGGGATATACAGGCTGACCTTGCCTGAGGTCACAGAAGAAAGCAACCCATCAATTATAATGTAACAGAAGTGAATCTGCCTTTTTCCAAACACCAATAAAGTGATAACCAACTAATAAACCAAGTAAGCGTATTCTTCACTTCAAAAGAATAATAAACTAGGATTTATTCTTAGTATATTATGATTATTAAAATAGTAACAAACTCAGAATCCCAGTTTTCATAAAACACAAAAGAGTTGTACCTTCCTGTACTGTTTAGCCACTCCCATGGCAGAAGGAGGAGGAGCCAAACTGGAGCAATCAGGCAAAAGGAACCAATAGCTTTATCTATCTTTAGTAAAAGGGAATTCTAAAAAATCCTAGTATACTGGGACTCTAACGAAAGCATTAACTGTATGTTAATGTCTTTTCCCACACTGTGAAGCATTGGAGAGTGTTGTTTGCATATAACAAACTGAAGCATCTTCTTGAAATTAGACCCTATGTGTGTAGACAGCCCAAGTTCATACAATTTGAATGCAAAAAAAACCCCTTGAAATGGAGTTTAAAATTAAAGAAACTTCTAATATATAGTTCTGTTCTTCTGAATAGATACATGAATAGGTCAATTTAAATGTTTCAGATATTTTGAATCTTTCATGTATAGTTTACATGGTCTTTTTCTCTGTCGTGAATTAATTAACTTCTGAATAGAAGTTAACACACTTGTGCATCAACTTCAGAGAGAATAACTGAATTTTCCTTGAAAGAATACACTCAATTCTATTCAAGCAGAGCTATTGATTGACAAATTTAAGAAACTGACATTTCAAAGCTGCTGGCTCTTTCTTATTCTCACCATGGCACTCTTCACACTTAAATCAACTTCCATGCACGCATGGTAGGTTAGACCATTGCACATGTACACAATTATGCACACACAATTCAAATATCAATTATACAGTACAGCAGTAAGCAGAAACATAAGAGCATTCTCTGCTGTACACTATTCATATTACCAATATTTTTAGTTCAGATTCATCTTTTTGGAAAAAAATTTAGGTCCCAAAAAAGCAAACAATTGTTAAAATTTAAAAGTTGGAACTGAACCTATTCCCACACCCCAAAAATCCTTCCCTAGTGAAAAAGCAGCTGCAATAATATAAAAAAGTTTGGCCATCAAACCCTTGCCTCTCCTAATTTTCTTTCAATTAAAAAAATTGGTTAAAATATTTTAGTATTTTTGACATGAATTAATATCATGTAGCAAATGGAGTTTTTCGATCTAATGTACCAGCTTAATGACAAGAATCACTCCCAAAATAAATACTCAAAAGAGGTATATAGATCATTAGCATCATTAATATTATCTAAAATTTACAAAAATTTGGATTACGACAATTCTTTTTTCTCCCCCATTTGTTTATGTCAGATACACTCTTGCTAAGTAATACTGCACCTGATTGATTACTTGAAGAAATTTCATGAAAGGTAAATTCATTCAATTTTTCAGCTTAGACTAAACAAAGAACATATTTAATACACTGAATCAAATTGGGCATTCTTCCTTCATGATGAAGAGTTTGCTTGAAGAATTTTACAAATTTGAAACATTTGTTACATTGAAGATAAATTAGTGTAAAATGAGCATATGAATTATGGTTATTTAGTGGTAATATGTAGGTATTCTATATGTATTCAGTGGAACTTGTGTATTTTACAAGTCCAAATAAATGATCTTACCTAATACATATTATTAGGTCCCCAAGTATTCAAGCCATATAATCTATAAATTGTACAGTGGATTTCATTTAAGATCATCATATTGTTTCTGGAATCCAGATTTGCTCTTAGTAGGTTGCTCTGCAAAGCCAATTACATTTCTAAACTTTTTATAAATAATTGTTATTTAATAACTGAAACATTACAATTATTTAAAAATGAGTCATTTCTCAAGTCAATAAACTTGCATTGGGTTTACATAACACAAAATACATGTGTGTGACTCACATATGCACACAGATGTGTGACTCAGAAGTAGCAGGAAGCTCTTACCAGCCAAGTGGTGGGGTTATCTGCCCAACACTGCCAGGAGATAAGGGATAAAAGGTGGAAATATCAGGACCTGGTGGATGCCGATTCATGCCTGTTAAAAAATACAGAATGTAAATGATCATTTTAGCCTAAAGAATATTAAAAATAACCTTTAAGCCACCCAAAGTCCCTTTGTAGGAGAGATGGGCGGCATAAAGAATAAATAATAAAACCCCCATGATAAAACAGACAATAGAGCCATTGAATCTAAAAACCTATGAAAAGAAAGATTTGAGTCTGCAGTATAAGGAGGTATTTTCCCCCAGTAGTGATGACGTAAACTACTTTTTTCTACTCTAGCCTGATATCTTCCAGACTATTACTCCTCAACTAGTATCATAGCCATAATTAAAACTGGAGAATTTCATCCAACCTACAGGATAAATAATATAATCACAAATCTTTTTTGAATACAGACCCTTTAGAACAGAATATTGATTTCCACCAAGTTCTCATGATAAATCAATGGTACTCAATTAACTTTGTCCTGTTCTCAAGTAGCTTGTATTGATCTCAGGTAACTTACTTAGACTGGATCCAACTCTATGTCTTCAGGAACATTGAAGGACTGAACACCAAAATTGCATCTTTTATGAGAACAGATTAAAAACCAGCACATCATCCAGTGAAACAATCAGTTTCCTAGATACTATCATTTGGGATTAAATTAAATAAATGAAACTAGATTGTATATTAGCCATTTTTATAATCATGTGACAGTATTTATCAAATATGGTTATCATTCCCAAATGAGGGTTGCAGTTCCCCAACCTGATATGAATAATAGTCAAAAAGTTAACTGGCACCTTATTATCTATCAGTTTTTTGTGACATAAGTTTTCATAAACCAAATACATAGTCACCTCAGTAGGTAAATGTGTATGCATATACCCTAGGTACAAAGAGAAGGAGGTGTCGAAAGCAAAGCCAAAAGGTCAAGCATTGCACAAGAAAGTAGATGCACCACAATATTATGCAGAACACAAATCAGAATGAGTGTGACTTACTTGACTAGTAAGTCAAGTGGAGTCACTAGTAGATTACAATTGGACATAGCACATCAACACTATAAAATCGTATAAAAGGACAGAAGCTTCATCAGGAATACCAATTAAGCAGCTTCCAATTTCTTTTATCTTTCTGAATTAGGAAAACCCTTGTTTTGTTTATCATAGAAGGGCATAATGGACAGATGAATGAATTCTCAGTATTATGGCTGATGTTATTTATTGAGGTGGTATGGAACAGAAGTGGCATCACAATTTAACTTACATTAAGTAGCCCATTAGTGTTGATGAATACCTTCTTTAGACCTAGGTACAGATTCTAAGCAATCATTTAAGGTTGTAAGGATCAATGACTACCTTCCAGGATGTATCCTACATGGATCGTTCTATAGAAGATATACCTTGGCACTTGATGAAACCCTGTCAATCTATTTTTTAACTTGACCGTCTCAAATTAAAGTTGAGTTTTAAGAATTTGTGATGCAATTCCTGGAGAAAGACGTTTCTGAACCCAAAGAATGGAGAAAAGACAGTTATATTGTAGGATCTGGCTGCAGACAACAGTGGTCTTTTCAGTATTTTATGTAGAGATATATCAGTTTAAGATGATGTTAATACATCATGCTTTTTTCTGTTAAGGTGCCTGGAAAGTCGACTTGCTGTAAGGGCATATTTACCAAGGGAGTTTATGTGAAGATGCCATCAATCTGTCTTGAAAAGAGGAGAGGTACTTGGAAGTAGGAACTAAAATGCTTACTAAACCATTAAATACAGCAGTCATTCTATTAGTTCTTTCAAGTATTCATGGGAAAACTTTTGCAGCATTTTTACTGCACTCATCTTTAAAATCTAACATTAATGAACTGTTTGAGAGGCAAGTGTGTAATGTTATGCAGTAATTTTTACAAATTCTTCTATTCTGTTGAAAAATACATAAGCAAAATATAAATGGATTCTGCTGACTGGAAATAAGTTGCTAGTTGCAACCTTGCAGAAAAGTAGGTCTTTATGTAAGACTCCAGTTTTAAAAATTTATGCTTCTTTGTCATAGGTTTGTGTAAAATTGGATTGCATTGAGTAATCAGTTGCGCTCTGCATGGCATTGTGATTACACTGCCCACCCCCTCTTTCATTGCTTGACCACTGGGCCTCTCCCCCTACTCTTCTCCCTATAGATATTAATTTCCTTCTCTCTGTACTAGGATATATATACCTACCCATTAGGTGACTGCTTCATGTATCTGATGGAGTAGGGTCTGGCCCAGAAAAGCTTATGCTACAAGACTTGTAGTTTTTACATTTCTTGATTGATTGTCTCTCTGATTTAAAAAGAAAAAAAGGAAGAAGTTATATGATACACAAGTGATAAAGTAGTAGAGTTTGTGTGACTTTAATAGATTAAGTCTTGAGAAATCATTGGGCAGCTAAAAATATAAGAAAAGACTAGGGGATGAATGAAAGCAGCAGTTTCAAAAAGACATTAGATTTTGTAAATTGCTGCTTATACATTTTATATGGTTCTCTTGAGATGTACAGCTTTTATGAACTTGCTGCCACTGAGGATCAGTGGTTAATTAAAAATCATTTTCAGGCCTGCAATGGTCATACTTGATATGATTCATTTACCTTCTGAGTCTCATTTCAGCTCTGGCTAAGCTCCTCATCATGTCGACTCTTGGGTGCCAAGGTCACTCTTGTAGTAGTTAATATTTTTGGAACAGAGCAAGGAAGTCTCACTGGAAATGATCCATCAATTCACACACTCAAAAGTGTAAAAAAAACATTCTACACATTCTAAAAACCACCTTAAGGATTAAAGGTAATCCAAATCCCAGATGAGTCCTATGGTTTTCATGCTCTATCTAAATCTCGTATCCCAAGGAGATATGATAGTCACAAAGACCATAAAAGTATTGATAGATTTAGTGTATTAAGGAAGAAGCAAAATAAACAAAAAAATGTCTTATTTTATATATTCTATTCTAAATAATAAGAGAGACAAGTGATCAGACTATTTAGAACACGGGTGTCAAACTCGCCACGTCACGTGATGGGTCGTAACATATCGCGACTTTTTTTGCATTGCCAGCAATGGGGTAGGCGTGGCTTCGGTATGATGAAACCGGCCCACGGGCTGGCAGTTTGACACCCCTGGTTTAGAAGGACCAACTATAGTGTAAAATTCAATTAAGAACTTGCAATTAATGAGAACTTCATTCTTCTTGCAGTTGTCTTATATAAACATCTGGTTCACTTTACCAGCCATCCATTTAGCTATACAGGAAATGTTCAAAACTACTTCTCTGCACTTAGTAGCTAAGCTCATACTCACACATACACAAAGTAGCAAGGAGCGATAAATTCATCATGCTAATGGTGAATCTTATTTTACTACATTTATAAAGCTCCTTCACTATTTACTAAATCTCCTACAAACAAAACATGCATTATTTTCCTTGGGATCTCACTATATAAAGTAACTTTAAAGAAATTTGTGAGCTAAAAAAGATTTAATTCTTAAGAAAAAGACTATAATGTCACTGATGGTTCGTAGGGTTATGTTTAAGAGAAGATTTAAAAATTTTCTTTTACAGTAAGATATACTGTATGGGCAGAATACTATAAAGTAAACACAGAAACTATTGAAGCATATAGACAAATTATCTGTTCCATAGTACTTTTCTACTGTACCTACCAAGAATCACTCTAGGCATCTCCAGGAAATAGAGCTAAATAAAAGCATTCCTTCATATGCCAGGAAATAATATAATTAAAGATCATAACTGCTTAGAGGATTGTTTGCATGCATATGCTTTAGTTTCACATTATCAGCCAAGATAAGACATCATGTGACACTACTCCTATCTACTTTGAGCTTTCAGCACAATTCTAGTCTAAGTTACCAAGAGGTAATAGCTAAAACAATCTCAGCATTTTAAGAAAAACAGCCAGAAAATTGTAGAACTTGGATTATCTAAATAATTTGAAATAATACAGTATGTCTATTTCAGTTCTTCCACTTTGCTTCATCATCCTGAGAATTAAAACACCTCTTACTATTTTCATGCACATTAGATGATAGCTAGTTTTATGTATTGCACTAAACCACAGCGTAGTTTGCTTTGTTTTGGCTTAGCAATGACATGGCCACGGGAATTGCAAGTAACTTTGAGAGGGGTCACAATCACCATTCCAAGTCACTCTGGGCGTATTAGTTGAGCTCAGATCTGTAAATTTTACTGCGCTTATGAATTGATTTTCTACCTTGTTACTTTGCTTAACAAGGATATAAGAGTTCCATGAGCAATATTATACTCTTCAACCAATAGGACACATTTTGAAATACCTGATAAAATCCATCATTATATTAAAATTGTTGATCAAACATTCTTAATTTGCTTTGATCAAAGTACTGTATTTTGTGGGTTTTAATGCAGTTAAAATAGACAAAACTCTCCTTTTCCAAAAATGTCTTTTCTTAGGATCAGTGCACAAAATGAGAACAACAAATAAATGAGAAGAGAATAAAGATCCTGGAGCACAGGGGAACTACCAGAGGACTGGAAAAGAGCTGATGTAGTTCCCATCCTCCAAAAAGGAAAAAAAATGGATCCAGGAAATTACAGACCTACCAGCCTGACCTCAATACCTGGGAAGATACTGGAAAAGATAATCAAACAACGAATCAACGAACACCTAGAGGCAAACAAAGTCATTACTAAAAGCCAACATGGGTTTGTCAAAAATAGATCATGTCAGACAAATCTTATTGCATTCTTTGACCAAGTGACAAAATTAGTGGATCAGAGGAATGCTGTGGACATAATTTACTTGGACTTCAGTAAGGCATTTGATAAAGTAGATCACAACCTACTACTTGACAAGATAGAAAAATGTGGGGTAGACAGAACCACCACCAGATGGATCCGTAGCTGGCTGACCGGCCGTACTCAGCGAGTGGTCCTCAATGGAACTGCATCTATATGGAGGGAAGTGTGTAGTGGGGTGCCCCAGGGCTCTGTTCTGGGCCCAGTACTCTTCAACA